AGGGGAAACTGATCCACTCGCTTATATGATCCACTCGCTTATAATATACGTTATCAGTTAGTTGAATCAGTTGTAACACGAAATTTAGATCGCAAGACATACACCCCGCGGTGCAACAGACGTACAGCACGGATCTCACATTGTTGGCGGTGTTGTTGTCGTGGTTATTTTGGTTATCAATTGTCCACGATCAAGGGAGGAGCACGTAATAAACGTAAAGGAAGGTTTTAATTAATTAATATATTCCCATAACGTTATCCCATGTTCGTAGGATGCCTGTTGACCCTGGGTCATAGCATCTTCCTTCGAGCCATAGCGCGGCCATCCACTTGTGTGTGGTACAACAGGGCCGTAGCATAAACCAAGACACAATGTGTGAGACTCGTAAGCCGAGGCGATATGTAATATATCGCCGGACTGGCTGTGCTCAACAAAAGCGGCAGACGAAGAGCCTGGATACCCCGATTTCTCACTTTCTAGAGAACTGAACAGGGACGAAAAGAAACAAACGAAAAACGTGAAAGCAGACGAACCAGAAGATATCAAGTTATAGGTAAGAGATCTAGATAACTACCTTAGCTATTGTAATTGGTTAAGTAATGATCAGCTTCGTGAGATTTTATTCGGTAGCCGGGCACCACCCTTCCATCGCGCTGGAAACGCCCTTCTTTTGTTAAGCAAGATTGAGAACTGGGTGGATACTTAATTACACCATCCTCGCCAAATCGGCAAGCACCGCTTCGTAATATGTTAATTATAAGCATAATTACCACGACCCCCATCATCCAACAACCCCCTAAACTTCAACCTTTTCCAGAACCCCCCCCTCCCCACCCGAATGACCGCAAAACCAAGCCAGATCCGAGACTCAACAACACAATCAATCACACTCCCACCACCCTCTCCGCCACATTCTTCGCCCTAACCACAATCCCTTCCACCCTCCCAACGCCACCCCTCCAACCACCCAACACCTCCGCCTTCACACTCACCCTCTCCCCCGGCCAAAGCGTCACATAATTCTCCGACCATCTCACAGGCAGCACATCCTCTCCTTTCCCATCCACTAGCGCCAAACTGATGAAAAATGCGGGGACGGGGGATTTGTTTTCTAATTCGACGTGTACCACCTCTACTACGCCAGCTGATGATTTGTCATGCTGGTGGTGTGGGATAGTAGTAGTGGCATCGGTGTGGACAGTAGCTGGGGCGAGTGTGTTGAGGGGTGTGTAATCGGAGTAGGAAGTGACGGGGGTGAAGTACCAGTCGGAGTTGTCCCAGTCGAGGATGTCGGAGGTGTGGGCGTCCCAGTAGACGTTCCTGCTTAGAACGGTGTGTTTGTCGTCGTGGTTTAGGGACTCTTGGTTGAGGAGGAACTTGATAAAGACCACGTCGGTGTTGACGCGGGCGAGGACTTTCGCCAGGGAAAAAATGTGTTTGCTGGTGTTGGGCTGGGTGGTGACGGCGATTGTGTCGTGGTGGAGAAGTTTGCCACGTTTGTTGATGATTTCTACCTGGACGGTCCGGTTGCCGGTTTTGTCTTGCGACCTGTTGATAAGCCATACCCCCTTTTTGTGGTAGTCGAAGACGACATTTTCTAAGCGCGTGGCTGTCTTGGCGCCGAAATACCCCCCCGCGGGCCGGAGGTAGTAGTCCCATAGGTTCCAATGTAGACTGGGCCAGGCGTTGTTCAGCATCCAGTAGATCAACCCCGTAGCCGGGCGATCGTCGGCGTTCCACCGGGCTGTGACGGCGTCAAATTGGGAACGGGTGGCTTCGTAGTCGGTGATTTGGGCTTTGAAGAGGTAGTCGGAGAGACTGGTGGGTTTGCCCCAGCGGTGGAAGAGGCCGGCGTTGTAGATCTCGCGGGTTTCGAAGGAGGAGCCCTTGCGGGACATGTGGTAGAGGGATTTGTTGGGGTGTTTCCAGAGGTCGTCGAGGTCGGATTCCGAGAGGAATTTGCGGAGGGAGCCGAGTTCGGGGGTGCCTACTCCTGAACCGAGCTCGGAGCCGAAGCCGAAGGCGGCGCCGAGACGGTCTTCGGAGGGGGCCACGTCCCACCAGTATCCGGGTGGCACCCAGTCGTAGGGTCCGTCCATTTTCAGTCCGGAGGGGCCGAGGGAGTTGGGGTAGCCGCGCTTGGAGGCGGACGCTACGATGGGGACTTGCCAGTCGGCTGCGTGGAAGGCGTCAATGTACCCTTTGGTTGCCTTGTCGTTGGGCCAGTAGTCGCTACCGATGAGATATGCCAGGAGGCTGGGATGGGTCTGCATCATGGCTGCTTCGTGGACGGTGCTTTGTCGGGAAATCGCGTAATCCGCCTTGTCCCAAACCGGAACAGGGTCGACTGCGAGGTCGGTATTGTAACTCCAGGCCTCCCACTTGTCGCAGCACTCCCACCCGGCCATGATCATCAGGCCGAGCTTATCGGCGAGGGCGTACAGTTCGGGGTGTTCGTTCTTGCCCTCGAGGCGGATGGTGTTGAGGCCGAGATCGAGGACGTAAGCGAGCTCGGTCTCGTATTGCGCCGGACTCGACCTCAGGAAGAGGTTGGGCGAGTAGCCGGCGCCGATGACCTGGAAGCGGCGGTGGTTGATGTGGAACGTGGTGTCGTCATGGGCCAGGGTCTTGGTAACGGTGCGCAGGCCGAACGTAGTGCTGGCGTGGTCAAAGATTGGAGCATTCTTCTTTCCTTTCGTGTCCGACGACGGTGTCACGGTTAACTTGGCCGTGTACAGCGGCTGCTCGCCCCATTGACGCGGCCACCAAATCCGCGGCTTGTCAATAGTCGCCGAAAGCACAACATCCGTCGCCGAAAACGGCTTGAGCGTAACCGTTTTTCGCACCACCAACGGACGGTTACCCAGGTATTCCTCCCCATCCAGCACAATCACCGCCTCAGCCTCAACATGCACAGTCGCATTCTTCAGATTATGCGCCTTTGCCTTGAGCGTCACCTTTGCCGGCTCATCCCCCAATTTCTCCCCCAACTCCGTCACAACCCGCAGCGGCTCGAGCCTCACCGGCCCAGTCTGCTTGATCTCCACATCCCGCCACACGCCCGTCCCGTTATCAGCCGGCCACGGGTTCCAATCCACCCAGCCGAGCGCGAAGTCGTAGTAGTAATCTGTCGGGTACACCTGGATCGCGAGGGCGTTGTGCTCTGCCACCAACGCGGTGATGTCATAGTCGCGCCCGGCGTACGAGCCCGCTTGCGTGGCTTTGTCGGCGACTTGCTTGCCGTTGAGCCAGATATCTGCGCGGGAGGAAATGCCGTGGGTTTGTAGGAAGAAATGCCGGTCGTCGTGCTCTGCATGCTCTCCTGTTTTGGTGGTGGGATGGTGCAGGGCGAATTCATGCCGATAAATCCATGGCACAGCAAACTGTGCCTCATCGACCTCTTGCAGGTTGGTTGAGTGGAACAGCTTGTCTTCGTTGTACACCCCGGTCTCGACGAGGCAGCCCATGAGTGTGCAGCGAGAGACGCCGACGTGGTGCCATGCGGAGGTGTCGACGCCGGGTCGGGAGAGGGTTGTTAAATCGTCGCCGGTGTGGGCGCTGGATTGAAGGTCCCAGCGGGGGATGGTGGATGTGTCGCCGGGAGATGAGACAATCGGTCGGAAGGGTGATGCGCTGGCGCTGTGCAGTTGCAATGCAAACAGCGCGGCGGTGCCCGCCCGTTTCCACGTCATCATCAATACCGACATCCAATGCTTGGTGTTGATGTTTTCTCCCCCAATTGGTAATTAAACCGTCAATTGGGTCGAAAAATCGCTCCGGGGAGCGCCTGCATCATTGTTTCTTTTTCTCGTCTTCCTGCGGCCTACCGTGTTGTTATTAATCCCCACGCCAGGGATCATACTGTACCGTCCAGTAACAACGAAGCCGAAGTTCATCAAAATGCCATTAAATTCCTCGGCTGAAGCTGCAGGCACAAACGAGACACCCAATACCGCGCTGTCCCGCGCTGCATGCAGCCGCTAAAAGCCGCGGCCCAAGCACACGCTGCACAGTGATCGCCGCCCATCGCCAATCCCGCCCGTCCTTGCATCGCCCGCTGGATGTTAATGTCAGTTAACGTTACATGACGCCGTGCCATCGGCGGCCGCCTGTCGTGTCTTCTCGTGTGAGGGTCGGGGAAAGGGGAAAGAACCCTCCGACTGAAGCTGCGTGGATCGGGATGCCTAAAACGTCGTGTGAGGGTCCCACAAGCTTGAACTCCCAATGTGGAGAACCCAAAAATTACCCATTTGGGCTCTGGCTTTCATTCGAGGCGGCAGCTACCTACCCGCCTGTTGCCTTCTTTCTATGATTGGGTCAAGACAAGGACACCGGGGGCTGCTGCGGGGCGAAGGAAATAATTCTATGGGTGATATTCGACCTCGAGTCCTCGACCAGAATGCAAATTGTCGCGTCGATCTCGCCAGGCCCAAATATATACGTTGGTAAAGTGACAGGGCGGTCTGCGAGCCGAATTCGAAAGTGCCACACCCGCAGATAAATTGCCTACATACCTAACGAGAGTCCAACTACGGTTACGCATAGTACTCTACCTAAGGAGTGACCCTGGCCTAGGATGCTGAAGGCCCTGTAATACGAGACCGCACACTGCGTGACCTCCAGCCTCCCTTGACCAAGGCACCGTATAACAGATGCCCCCGTTACAAAAGCAAAGGTGCGGTCTTAGCATCAAGCCATTTAAACTAGCGAAAAGTAAGCTAATGGATTAACCGGCATTTTAAGCCGAGGTATAGTGAGGGAAAAACACCGCATACAAGTAAAAAAGACCGCTAAGGACGTTGATCCTAGATATAGTAGGGAAAGACACCGCGTACAAGGAAAAAAGGCTACGAAGGAACTTTGTCCTGAATGTAACAATGAAAGATTGGCGAGATTGACTTACGGAAGCGTCACAGCAACTTGGAAGTCAATGGATTATACCGGCGCCGGACTTCTCCTGCTCGCAGTTGTCGCTTCGCTGCCACCATCGATCTGGTGGACAGTTTCTATCTTGGAGTCACCCGTTCCTGAGTTCTCTCCTTATCCATACGCCTCTTCCTATATTTTGATTCTCTTCTCAGATCCGGGACGGATGCCAGGCGCTTGTACCACTCTGGTTCCTCCGTAAAAAATCCGTTGTCGCCGTCTTTGCGTGTGGGCTACCGGCTTGGCTTTTTTGGGATCAAGTACCTAATCAGTCCAATTACATAACGCCCACTGGAATGTCGCTAACGTTTTTCGAGCTACGGGCTGGGGCAGTATGTTCAAGCGCGGTCTACACGCTCAGCCTCGACGTCGGCATTTTCTGACTGGGCTTTGCGCTGTGTCTTCCCGGGGATGCTGCTAGGGGATTTTCTTCGTGGTATTGTCATTCGATGATATTGTTCTCTTAGGTTGCTGCTTCGAGCTGCCACCGTTCTCAACCTCTGGACCTATTCCCACTTCACCACCGGCGTGATCTGTACGTCAAAGTCCAACAAATCCTTTGAGAATGGATACTCACGGCTTGACTCACGGATCCGGAAAGCCCAGCATTTGCGCCCGTCCTCCGCGAGTTGGGTTCGATGTAGACGGGCTCGATTGTTGTTGGCTGGTCTCTCTATTCTCCCAGGCTAGTCCCCTCGGTAAAACCACCCCTCGTAGTGTGGTACTCAAGACGCCCGGTAGATCAGCTTCTTTTTCCGCCGTTTTTAACTTGGGACATGCTAATCCGGATAGTTGCGGCACAGTAGTGGCCTTCGACCAGTGTTGCAGTCGGGTACCTACCTATGTTAAGGTTTGATGGAAGAACGGGAGAATGGTAGCTTTGACGTTGTTCGTCATCCTCCTAAGCCTTGCATTCGGGTTCAATATTTTTGGTGACAAACGTGCCCAAACCCAGCCAAATGGCCTCAGACCAGCTTGCGTGGAAATCGTTAGAGTGGGGTGAGGTATGTACATGCACCAAGCGCCAAAAGCTGTGGCTAAGCTCCTCTTCCGGCCTCCCTTGACCAAGGCACCGTGTAACATGTACTGGGAGCTGCACAAGGCGCCCGGGCCTCCGTGGAGATGATGGGGAGCGATGATATCAGGAGGATAACCACACCCGCCCCATAGTGGCTGATCCGGCGGCTGATCC